AAAAAAAAAAAAAAAGAAGTTCCAAACAGCAACGACAACGACGACAACGGCGACAGCGACAACGACAGCGACAACGACGGCGACGAGATGACAATGAAAACAGCAACAAAGTATGCTTTCTGGCCCTTTTTTTTACCTTTCTTTTTCTTTTTTTTCTCTTTCTTTTTCTTTTCATTTTTTTTTTGATTTGATGATTAGAAAATAAGGCACCAAAGATGAAGAAAAAAACTTTTTCAACGAGTGTATGTATACGTAGACAAAACAAACACACAATGAAAGAAAAGATGAAAACGACTAGAACAACTCTAGAGTAAACAGCGGAAAAAAAAAAAAGAAAAAGGAATTTCTTCTTTTTTTTTTCCTTCCTTCCCTTTCAACTCAATCCAACCTTTTTTTAAGCCCAAACGTTGCTTCAGCTAAAGATTCTACTATTACTGCCACTAATACTACTACTGCTACTATCACCGCCACTACTGCTGTTTTTTTGGTAATGCATGCTGCCTTCACTGTTGTTTCAGTTTCCGTTCCTGAGACCAGTTTCTCGTATTGCTATTTCTAATACTACTGCTGCTGCTGCTGATACTCCGGTACTGATGCTTATATTCGATTAATAGTTGAAAGAAAATGTGTATCAAATACCAATCCTCATTGTATACATCAGTAGTAGATTTTCATCAGTTTTTTTCCTTACACTTCCTTCCAAGACATCTAAATATTTAAGTACATATTTATATATGTAGAATCCATTAAAACGAACGAAACTGGAATTGAAATGTAATGCTGAAGAACAAATCTACAACAATTTCAATTGCGACAACTACAACTAAGGCAACAATGAGAATGACGACAATGATGACAACGAAGGCGACAACGACAACGTTGACGATGACGACGAGGACGACGACAAAAGATGTATGGGTTGATTCTTGCAAAATGATTAAAAATAAAAACTGTTCATTTTGTTCTCTGACTCTCTCACTTTTAATTCTTTTCTTTTTGACTCTCTCTCGAAAAAAATACATTACCGATT